CCTCAAGTCCCCGAGAACCTGGGGGAAGCAGGCTCCACCTGACTCAGGGTCTCGGCTCCCTGAGCCCAGTGCCCCACCAGGCGCCTGTCGGCTCTCTGCACCCCACAGGCAGCCTGGCTGGGACAGGCCACTCATGCCCTTGCCCTGCTCAGGGTAGCCACTGATTGGAGGGCTGTCCCCGCCGGTCAGTTTGGGTCTGTAACTGTTTGCATGCACGTTTCATGGCTGACCAGCCCTTCCTTCCTTCGTTCATTCATTCATTCGTTCAAAAGAGCAGCTGGGCAGAGCTGTGAGAGGCATGTTGGGGCCTGGTGAGCAATTATGCTGCTTCTGTAAACAGAACGGAGGAGAGTAGGAACAGGAAGAGGGGGAGGAGGAGGAGGAAAGGGAGGAGAGGGAAGAAGGGTGGGCTGGGGGCTGGTGGTCAGGGAGGGTTGATAAGTCAACAGGCAGAGAGGTCTGGCTTGGTGCCAGGGGGACCCTGGGGTCTGCAGTTGCTAACCATCATCATTAAATGACCGTTGGTTGACACTCCCCCATCATCTGAGCTTCCCATAGATTATCCCCAAGACTCCCCCCAGAGGCCACCGAGTCACACACAGGAGGCTGAGCCAGCTGTATTGCTGAGCCTTCTCTGGTCTTGCCTGATTCTCCAGGCCCCATGCCTTTACGCAGGGGACAGCTGCATGCAGGGGCTCTGTCTGAGGAGGGCGCCCGCCCCCCTCCCAAGGGCCACAGCCATGATGAGCCGTTACCACGGATTCCGACATGGGGCAGCCCCATGTGGATCAGAGCAGCACTGTGCTCCCAGGGCTCTGTGGCTGAGTTTTCAAGAGGAGATTGGCAGGCCTCTCTTCTGCGGCACCTCTGGTAGAAACTGAACACGCCAACTACTGCACACACACTAACCACCCCCCCCCCTCGGGGTCGGGGACTCCAGACCCCCAACCCCTGTGTTGGAAGCACCCACGGGGCACCAGTGGCAAGGGAGAGGGTGGCCTCCCCACAGTCTCAGAGACCAGCTGCATGCGTCTGCGAGAGGCAGCCATGGGGACCAGCCTCTGGGGCAGAGAGTGGCTCTCCCAACTCACCAGTAGTAGAAGGCGAAGAGGAAGGTGGGCAGGGAGACGGCCAGCTGGAGCCACCGCCAGTGAGGCAGGGCATAGGCGATGCCCACCAGCAGCACAAGGCCCACTGCGAAAACCATCTGATACAAGATAGCCACCATCTTCCTGTAGTCTGGGCCCACAAACTCGGTGACTGTGAGAAAAACATGGTCATCATAGGAGCCGCCCGGGAGGGCAGGGGAGCTGCGCACCCCTAATCCCTTCCACTGCTCCCCCTTAGCTTCCTCCTCTCTACTTCAACTTCCCCTCAGGTGGAGGGTGGTTTGAACCCTGGACCTTGATGTTAGCAGCCCAGAGCCTAACCCTCAGTGCCACCAGGGCTCCTCACGATACTTACCTACTCACTTAGACATCTCTCTTCCTCTCCCGCTGTCACACAGCTTGAAGGGAGAAAGGACGCTTTGTCTGTCTCCGCGTCCCCAGTACCCCTGCCCCACGGCCCTGGCATCACTTACTGGGAGGTTTTCTGTGGTGGACACTGTTCTAAGCGTTTACCTCGAGCCCCATGCCTCAGTCTGTTTGTCCTTCTGTGTGGCTCGTGCGTGACGAGGATGCCGGAAGCTCTCCCAAAGGTGTGTCAGAAGACAGCAGGGTCACCCCCGGTGACCAGAGTCCAGCCGAGCTTCCAGACAAACGCACGGAGGACGAGGAAGCATGTTGCAGTTTTCAAGAGTCAGGAGGTCGCTTTGGGGACTGAGGTACACCTGGCCCACGCCGTGGTGTGTTCAGTCCCAAACGCATGGGCATGGAATCAGGAAGATCGAAGAGGAACAGAAGCATTTGAGGGATGGGGCTGGCGAAGAGTATGGGAAGTACCATGGATGGCTAGAAGGACAGACAAACCTGTCTCAGAGGAAGGACAGCCAGAATACGCAGTCGGCGAGATTTCGTTTCGTGGTCCTTGGACCAGTCCCTGGGAAGGCCCATCCTTCTTGGTAAAGTAGCGGAGCCGAGAAAAAGAAAGACCTTCACGAGAGGACTTGACCTAGTGGCTGTGACCCCAGCCTCACACGCAATTATTGTGAGCAGGGTGCGGGACCGGGCAGTGTTACGCCCGGTGGCACCCAAGGGCGCCATGAGGTGGAATCCACTTGCCAGCACCTTCCAGCAGCATCCCGGAGAGCGCTTCCTGTGTTCCTCCCAGCAGCCCATGAGGAAGGCGCCCTTGGTGGTCCCACTTTCAGGAAACAGAGAGATTGTGAACACGGCCCTAGGTCAGTGCTGGCATGAGTGTGGAGCGGACCCCTCAGACCCATGTGTTACCAACTACATATTCACTACCGTCTTTCACTCGCTTTTGAACGACACCCATGCCATGTAGGGGTGACTGTAACATGGGCGGCTTCTCCCTAGAGAACTGGTTCTCAGAATCCCAGGGTCCTTGTTTCCAGAGACGACGAGACTTGGCTGCCTCGTTCCTCTTCTCCGGGAATGGGGAAAGGTGTGACTGACCTCCACCCCGCCCCCCACCCCACCTGTCTGACGTGACCCATGGACGTGCTCAGGAAAGACGAGGGGACTTCTTCTCTTACTCTCCTCCGCGATAAGCCGTTTTCCTGCTTCTGTTCTGATTCTGTTGGAAAGTTGTGGCTCTTGACAGGGCCCATCGACTTGTGTCCAACCCATAGCAACCCTCTACAGCACCAGAGGACACACTGGCCAGCCCGGCGCCCCCTCACAGCCATTCCTGTCCTTCAGCCCTTGCTGTAGCTGGGATGTCCGTATCCTTGAGGGCCTTCTCCGCCTTCACTGACCCGCTACTTGACCAAGCATGATGTCCTTCTCCAGCGACCGGTCTCTCCTGACCACGAGTCCGAAGCGTGTGCGACGGAGGCTCTCCCTCCTGGCCTCTAAGGTTGGGCTTCTTCCGAAGCGGATGGGTCTGTCCTGTGGGCAGCTCATGGGACTGCCTGTACTCTTCTCCAGCACCGCCATCCCATGCACCCATTCTTCTTTCTTCTTTATCCGTCGTCCAACGTTCACGTGCCTGTGAGCCTGTGAAGGACACCCTGGCTGGGGACAGGCGCCCCTCAGTCCTCAATGTGTAGGAAGGACTTTCAATGTAGAAGTATTCGCATTGCTTTGCACCCGGATAGTGTTTTTCTGTTGCAACATTTCATTGCATTGTGAGAGAAGGGTGGCAGAGCACATCAGTTTCCCCGTTAACACTGCGTGCACACCTCCCTCTGGGGTCATTGATTGCCAGCCACCCCCCACCCCCACCCCCCACTCATCCCACCTCCTCCGATTTCTGGTTTCCATGCGTCCTGTGTCCTCTCCCTTCCTGCCCTCTGAACTTTGTCTCTGGGCAAAGGCTGCTCTTTTGATCTCCGGTGGTTGCTGGTTGCAGTGTGTGCCCGTCTTCCTGCCATCTCCCCTTCCCTCCCCCGCTCCCCTCCCTCTTGATCTGCCCCTAAACCAGTGGGCTTTGTTGTTCTTTGGGGAAGCAGCGAGTCTTTGATATTCAAACATTCAACTGCATCCACCCCCTTCCCTTCTCCTGATGCACCCCGTCCCCACCACCATAAATCCAGCAGCCTCTGATCTTGCTCCCTAAACGGGGTTAGCAGATAGGGAAACCTAGATCTATAAGCATCCCTCAGATGTTAAAGAAAAAAAAAAACGAGGCAGAGTGGGGGGAAAGGTTGGAGGGACTATACTATCTGAGGGGCCCGGCTCGGGTCGGTCCCATCTTTCAGGCTTGACCTCAGGAAATTCCAAGGCTGTGTGTGCAGGCTCCACGGGGCAGCGGGCCTCCCTGACCAGCCTTGGTGCTTGGCCAATGGCCAGAGTGCTGCTGCTCTGAAGGCCGACAAACCACGGGCTCCTCGGGCCTTCCTGAGCTTATGGGGGCCTTCAGGAGTCCCCCTCTTGCTTCAACCCCATTCTGAGCTCTTCCCCACTCCTACCCAGCCCTCAGCAACCCCCCACTCCTAGCCCTCCTCTCTCTCCCTCTGCCTGGGCCCTGGCTTCATTAAGTGGCAAGATCCTGCTGTATGGGGGACCTGTGAGTTAATTCCCAATCGCCACAACCCCCGTGTTCGTCCTGATCCATCTGACGTCTCCGGAAGCTGTCGAAAGGGAGAGTGGAAGGAGGGCCGTGTCATGGTGTCTGGGACAGCCTCCTGCCTGTACACTTGCTGTCAGAATGCATTTGTCTTCCCCGTGTTGTTGGGGGTATACGGTTTGCTTTGTTTTTCTATAACAGCTCTTGTCCCTTGTCGCTGTGGCTGTGAACACACACCAAGTCAGTCATTCCTATGTGTCCACGCCAGCAGCGTGGATCGCGTGCTGGAGCTGTGACCACGCTCACGCGCCTGTCTCACTCCGTCCTCCCCGGAACACGAGCCCAGAGCCCTCCAAGCTTCCCGGCTAGTCTCTCCAGCTGCAGCTGTCCTTTTGATCCCAGATCAATCGTTCTTCAAAGGGCACCATGCTCAAGGCTGACATGTTTCCCCGCTGCAGCTGAATGTTTCCTTGGTCTTAAGAAGATAGCAGGGAGTGTTTCAAAGAGATCTCAGGCCAGCAGTTTGCAGGGTTCATCCAAGCTCTGTGGTTGCAGGAAGTGTGGAATTCGTGAGAATTTGAAACTCTGTTGTGCATTTCCCTACTTTTGTGCAGGTTTCTTCAACAGAGCCCTCCATCCAAATGCCCCATCTTCATACGGACTCCTTGTGCTCATCGGCTCCGCTAACACCTGGCCGCTCGACACCGCCCTCTGCCCATGGCACAATACAACATGTACCTGGTGTTCGCATGTTTCTCTCTAGACCCTGTAAACACCCCTTCCTCCATTCCTGTCTGACTCCGTCCCCCACCCCTGCATCTGCCCTCCGTGGTCCCAGAGAAGCCAGCAGCCTCCCAGCTCGTCGGTACTCACTGAGGATGTAGCCCGCTGTCCAGCTGCCTTTGCTGACCAGCCCCTGCAGGAAGCGGAAGAACAGCATGGAGGGGTAGCCGGGGGCAAAGGCCATGAGGACGCCCGAGATGGTATTGATGAAGCTGGTCCCCAGGAGACAGACTTTGCGGCCAAACCTTCAGTCAAGGGGACAAGGCTTTGATGAAGGGTGGCAGGAATTCAGACCTGCCCAGTGGAGCACAAGGACCATGGCAGGGTAGCACCGCCCCGCCTCTTCCCTGAGGGACAATACATGCTTATCAGGAAGGCACTGCCTCGGCAGGGCCCAGTCACATCTGCTCCCCACAAAGTATAGCTATCTGTAGGTATGATTTTGTGGGAAATTCCATTTTTCCATAAACTTTTATAGCCCCCTCATACACACACACACACACACACACACACACTACATATGCATTAGAAAAGTACACCCCAAGCTCACTGCTATCGAATCCATGCTGAGTCAGTACAATCCCATAAGACAGGGCGGACCTGCCTCTAGAGGTTTCAACCATTGGTACTCTTTTTCCCCCAACACATCAATCACACCAAGAAGAGTTGTGCAATCATCACCACGATTACTTTTAGAACATTTTCTTTATTTTTACTCATCTTCATTAGCTCCCTATTCTGTCTCAACCTCTCTTGCCATACCTCAAAGGAGCCATTAGCCCAGTGAATCTCTCCATAGATTTACCTATCCTGAATTTCATGTTCAGACAAGCATTTAAAAACAGACCAAAAAAATAAAACCAACCAGATCAACAAAGTAAAACTGATTAAAAACTTCCATCGAAAAGAAAACAGAAAATATTACAAACCAGAACAACTGTCAATGGACCATAAGGGAGATCAAATGATCGGGTACTAAAGTTTAATTTAACTGCATCGGCAGCAATCCACTTTGCAATGCATTCTGCATGTTAGCAAGGCTATTCACACCAAATCCTCAAATCTACCTAGAGCTTCCTTCGGAACTCAGCTCCTCTGGGCCGCCTCCTTCCTTTCCCACTGTTCCATCCACAGGTTGTCTCCAACTCCTCCCCTTGCCCCACCTCCCACCAGCAGCACATGGATGCTTCTCTCCAGGGAATTCTGATCCCCCTTCTTCTCCCACTGTTACCCTCCCGAACTCCTGGCATTTCCTTTTGACCCATTTTAAAGTCGGTTCAGTTAAAAAAAAAAAAAGTGAAAAGTGGAGGGGAAATACATGTGGGTTGATCCTCTGGTGAATTCCCTCTAACCACAGACGAGGCATGGGAGCAGCCTGGCCATCCTGCAGTGTGCTTTGGGAAGTGGATGATTACAGGTGTAGTGAGGTTAAAATTGAACACATGATCATTTGACCTTTCTTTTGATCTATTTTAAATTTGTCCTATCTTGTAATGTTTTCTGCTTTCTTTGCACGAGGGGGTTTTCTCTGTTTTACTTTATTATTGTTGATGTGTATTTGTTTTTTGTGAGGTTTTTTTGCGAGGAGGGGGTAATGTTTTTCTGTGTATGAAATCCAGGATAAGGAATCTATAGAGACGGTAACTGCATGAATGGTTTCTTAAAGGGGTGTGATGGGGGAGGGGGGAATGGGGAGCTGCTTACGGTGAGGAAAAGAAAGAAGAAAATGTTCTGGAATTGATTGTGGTGAGGGTCGTAGAACTCTTTAACATGATGGAATGATTGCATTGTGTGATGTGTGGGTCACATGCCAGTAAATGGCTTTCAAAAGACCTGGCAGCACGGAGGAGGGGTCTGGTTGAATTGGTGCTGACATACCTGTCGGCAATGTAGCCAACTCCCAGGGAGCCGAGGAAGAAGCCCACGTTCACGCAGGACTGAAACAGGTCCACCTTCCAGGAATCGCCACACACCAGGTTAAACTGAGGAGGGACCCGAAACAAAGCCGTTTGTCAAGTCAGAGGACAGCCTTACAGCTGTTCTCCCACAAAGCAAACGCGTGGCACAGATCTTGGCGTCCCCCGATGCTGCGGGTAAGCTTCTCAGTCGTGATCATTGTATTCCTGGTAACTTTGGAAAACTCTGACCGTCTCGTCATTACAGAGACCAGCATCCAGTGCTCTGCTTCACCAATCTGTTACCGAAGGACACGATGCCGTCGGCGAAGAGAACAAGAATGGATGGCCTGCCTCCCACAAACCCAGCAAATCCCTCTCGTTCAAAGAAATACCAGCATCCCTGTCATCGAGTTGATTTGGACTCAGAGTGACACTACATAGGGTTTCTGCCTGGTGGCACAGTGGTTACACGTTGGGCTCCTAACCCATGAGATCGGCAGTTCAAAACCACCAGCTGCTCTGCAGTAGAAAGATGAAGCTTTCTATCCCCTTAAAGAATTGCAGTCCCAGAAACCCACAGAGCAGGTCTGTCCTGTCCTGTAGCCGGGCATCAACTCGATGGTAGAGAGTTGGGTTGGCTTGCTTGTTTTTTTTCTTACAGGGTTTCTGAGACAATAAATCGTTACAGGAACAGGCAGCCTCATCTTTCTCCTGCAGAGTGGCCGGTAGGTTTGAACCACCAACCTTGCTGTTAGCAACCCAATGCGGATCAAAAGCAATACAGCAAGGTAACTTGTACAAGAAGAAGAAAGAAATGTCCTAAAAGGAGTATACTATCTTTTGTTCCACTGCTGTTTCAACGGAATCCATAAAGCCAGCACGATGGAAGCCCTCTAAGCTTGCAGCCCTGAGAAAGGGCAGGCAGGAAAGAGGAGGGAAAAGATAACTGGTTTCTGAGCAGCTACCAGACAGGCACTGTGATTAGACGTTTCCTTCTTTGTCGAATTCCCTCAGCAATCTGTGAATTATTAGCTGTCCCCTCTGTCAGGATAAAGCAACACTGGATCTGAGGAGTTAATTAGTGAAGATCAGACAATTATGAGAGTGCAGAAGTAGGACTGAAATCTGGAAATTCTCAACACTGCGAGCAGCCTTGCTCCCCCCACGTCTCTGGAGATGCCCAAAGTTGGTGTCATGTTAAAATCGCTTAGGAAGGGGGTAAAGACCCCAGAGCCGATACCACAGCTCCAGGCCTAGAATTGGAGCATCTTTGGGAGCCAGGCAGAGATTGATTTTAAAACTCTCCAGCTTAATTCCAACACTCACTCATGTTTGAGAATCACTACAGTGCGCTGTAAGGCCGCGCTGTGAAAAATTCACAATCCTCTTTGGATGTTTTATTTTTAACCTTAACAAACTTAAAATGAGTTTATTGGTTTGTTGTTGTTGATTTTTGTTTTTAAATCATTTTATTAGGGGCTCATACAACTCTTATCACAATCCATCCATCCATCCATGTGTCAAGCACATTTGTACATTTGTTGCCATCATCATTCTCAAAACATTTGCTTTCTACTTGAGCCCTTTGTGTCAGCTCCTCATTTTCCCCCTCCCTCCTTGCTCCCCCTCCATCACAAACCCTTGATAATTTATAAATTATTTTTTCATGTCTTACACCAATGGTTCTCAACCTTCCTAATGCTGCGAACTGTTAATACAGTTCTTCACATTGTGGTGACCCCCCAACCATAAAATTATTTTTGCTGCTAGTTCATAACTGTAATTTTGCTACTGTTATGAATTGGGTGACCCCTGTGAAAGGATTGTTTGACATCCAAAGGGGTCACAACTCACAGGTTGAGAACTGCTGTCTTACCATGTCCGATGTCTCCCTTTACCCCCTTTTCTGTTGTCTGTCCCCCAGAGAGGGGGTTATATGTAGATCTTTGTGATCGGTTCCTCCTTTTCTCCCCCACCAACCCATTCCCCTCCTGGTATGGCTACTCTCATTATTGGTCCTGAGGGGTTTATCTGTCCTGGATTCGCTGTGTTTCCAGCTCTTATCTGTATCAGTGTACATCTCTGGTCTAACCAGATTTGTAAGGTAGAATTGGGATCATGATAGTGGATGGGAGGAAACCTTAAAGAACTAGAGGAAAGTTGTATGTTTCATTGGTGCTATACTGCACCCTGAGTTTATTGTTTTGCTAGTGCAGCCAGAAGTTATTAAATCCAATTGCCAGTCAATGATCAAAATCACTTCCACTCACTGGGTGCTTTAAGCAGATCGAACAATCACAACAGCATCTCACTGCCATCAATTGGGTTGATTCTGCTTCATAAATCTCTCTCTCTCTCTCTCTCTCTCTCTCTCCATACATATATAAACGTCACTGGCTTTGCCTCCCTGGAGAACCCAACCTAAACAGCCACCAGGAGTCAGGCTGACCGACAGTAACTGATTACATAAAGGGTCAGGCAATGTCCACCCAACTCCCTGTGCGTTCTTTCTTCATGAGCCAAGAGTGGAAACCCAGGTGCGTGCAAGGCCAAGCAACTCTGGGAAATACTTTGTGGCTTTGTGTCCCAGCTGACCTTGGTCCACGCCTCTCGGCCTTGCCCATGTTGGGGAGGGTGGAAGACAAAGATATGCTGTGTGGGCTGCGGCTGAGAACAGAAGGGGAGCAGCCAGAGAGGCAACGTCAGGGGGCTTTCACATTCTCCCCCAAATGGACCCTAAAACCTTGGGCCCTGGGCCTCAGAGCCAGGGTTGAAGTTAATTTTCAAACAAGCTCACTTCCCCTCCCTTAAGCAAGTTTCAACGTCCAAGGCAATGGGAGGTTAAAAATTATTTCTGCAGGAATGAATAACTCACATTAATTTCCTGAGAACTGTCTTGAGTTGAGCTTCGGAGACAAAGGCAGGCACCACTAAGGACAGGACAGGACCTCACCACATGCCTCCACCCCCCCACCCCCCACCCCCCTGACTACCACCTCCCTCCCACAAAACAATATCCATGTTCCCAATACTATTCTACCTCTGGTTCTAATCCAGTTTAGGAATGGGTCATCTTTGCTACACTGTTGTTGTTGTTATTGTTTGTTGTTGTTTGCCATTGAGTTGGTTCCAACCCTGTGCACAACCGAAGGAAACATTGCCTGGTCCTGTGCCGTCCTCCCAGCCGTTCCGACGCTTGAGCCCACTGCGGCAGCCCCTGGGTCAGTCCATCTCCTTGAGACCCTTCCTCTTTGGAGCCACCTCTCCACTTTACCAAACAGGATGTCCTTCTCCTGACCACATGCCCAAAGTATGTTAAGATGAAGTCTGACCATCCTTGCCTCTAAGGAGCACTCTGGCTGTACTTCTTCCAAGACAGATCGGTTTGTCCTTTTAGCAGTTAGTCCCTGGGACGTTCAACATTCTCCTCCAGCACCACCATTCAAATGTGTTGATTCTCCTTTGGTCTTCTTTATTCAATGTCCACCTTCCACATGCATACGAGGCCGTGGAAAATACCATAGCGTGGGTCCAGCACACCTCAGTCTTCAAACCAACATCCTTGCTTTTTACCACTCTAAAGAGGTCTTGGGGAGAAAATTTACCTACTGCAACATGTCTTTTGATCTCTTGACTATTGTTTCTATGAGCATTGGCGGTGGATCTGAGCAAGAGAAAATCCTATTGGTCCAGTTGTGAGGATTTGGATGCTCTTTACATTGAGCCATAGGAAGACTGCAAGCCTTGATGTTCGTCAGCAAGTGCTTCAAGTCCTCCTTACTTTCAGCAACAAGGTTGTGTCACCTGCGTCCTGCAGGTAGTTAGTAAGCTTTTCCTCTCATCCTGATGCCACACTTTCCTTCACATACATCAGCTTCTCTGATGGCCGGCTCAGCAGGCAGAGGGAATACGTATGGTGAGAGGTACAACCCTGGCGCACACCTTTCTGGATTTTAAGCAATGCAGCGTGCCCTTGTTCTGCTTCTATTATCTGTCTTATACACAGCTTCAACATTGTCGGGGAGCTAGAGGTTCGAATTCAGGGCACCAGCTCCTGGGGAAGTCTCTCTCTCTCTCCTCTCTCTCTTTCTCTCTTTCTCTCTCTCTGCCAGCTCTGGAGGAAAGTCTTTTTTTTTTTTTTTTCAAAACCAAATTTAAAAATAGATAAATACAAGAGCAACCACCTCTGTGCCCTAGTCTCATTTCTGAGTCATTGTGACCCTCTAAGACAGGGTAGAACTGGCCCCGGGGGTTCCTGGGACTAAAACTCTCTGCAGGGGCTGGAAACCTCATCTGCAACCCCAACCTTCCTACACCCCACAGCACGTGCCCCTCTTCCTGCTTCCTCTGTGTCTAATCTGTTCTTTTTCCTGGCTCAGAAGTGACCTACACTAACAGGACCGCTGAACAGAACAAAGAACCCCTATTTCTTTCTTCTTTATTTTTTTTTTTTTTGGTTGTTGAGATGTATTAATGCTAAAAGATGTGGATAGGCCAACTTTGTTTTAGCTACTTTAGAGTATTGGTGTACCTTGTTGATTCTTCTATTGAAAATCATTCAGGATGTACCAGCTTTTCCTTGTTGCAAGAATATTGCAATTCTATCCTCTGTATATCTGCATGGGCAGATACTTAAGGAGTTCTTTTATTAATCATTTTATTAGGGTCTCATACGACTCTTACCACAATCCATACATACATCAATCGTGTAAAGCGCATTTGTACATTCATTGCCCTCATCATTCTCAAAGCATTTGCTCTCCACCCAAGCCCCTGGCATCAGCTCCTGGAAACCCTATTTCTAAATGGCATTCTATCCACAAGTACGGGGCGAAGATGCCAACGCATCTTTCGTGGTACACAATCAACCCGCAACAGCATTGAAAGCCCTCATGGAAGGGGGCAAGGAAGAGCGGGAACCTGGGAAACCCAGAGCTGGGGGGGAGGGGAGGAGGGGGCAGACATGAGAAGAAGAGGACCAGCTTCATCTTGCTTCAGGAAAGCAACACTCTCCCCAGAGACAAGCTCCTGCTCACGGAGCGCCTCTGAATCAACCGCTTTGGGCCAACGTCTTTGTCAATGACCACGACAATTCCCGCAGCCCATACTTGTCGCCTCCGATGCATGAGGAAGTTGGGTCTTCAATAAGGAAGGCCACAGAAGAATGGGTGCCTTTGAATGATGGTGTTCTTGAAGAATACCGAAGGTCCCAGGGACTGCCCAAAGATGGACAGGTCTGTCTCAGAGGAAGTACGGGCCAGAATAACCCTTAGAAGCAAGGACGGCAAGCTTTGGACAAGCTGTTGGGAGAGACCAGGCCCTGGGAAAGGACTCCGTGCTTGGTCAGTAGAGGGACAGTGGCAAAGAGAAAGAGCCTCAACATGAAGGACCGACACAGGGGCTGCCACCGGGGCTGCAAAGCAGCAGCAATTGTGCGGACGGGCAGGACCGGGTAAGGCTGCATTCACTCCATCGTAGCCAGGGTCGCTGTGAGTCAGAACCAACAACCACAGCGCCCGCCGTGCAAGGCTTTCCACAGGGTTAGGGGTAGCCGCGTCCAGTGCCGTGGACTGAACTGTGGCTCCCTCAAAGGTGCACCAGGGTGACTGCGCCATGATCCGCTGGTTTGGCCGTCATGTAATGATCCCCCAAGGGGTGTTTTGATGTGACCCACCCATCGGTGGTACCTGGATTGAGAGTGGGATAGTGTTGTTAGGAAGTGCTGTCACGCGGCCTCGCCATCATACCAATGCTGTGTCTGACAGAAGAAAACACTGCCTGGTCCTGTGCCATCCTCAGAAGAGAGAGGATGGAAGAGCCAGCCTCTGATCATGAAGATACTAGAAATACAGCAAAATTCAAGATTTAGTCCAGTTAAAAATCCAAAACGTCACAGCCTCCCCCTTTGGAGTAAAAATTCCTTATGTTTAATCTGTAGGGGTGTTCTAACTCAGGGACGAGCTGACAAGGCCTT